ATATATTATCATCTGAACAAGTTAATGGTACCATTACGATTGCTTCTTTTAGCAATGACAAATCGCTGCATCCTTGTTCTTTAAATTCTTTCTTTTCTTTTCTTTTCTTTTCACTTTTAATCCAAAATAAACATTGATTTTGGTTTTGGAGGAAAGTAGAAATTTCATTCAAAAGCAACTTCTTTTATAATTACGGAAGAAAAAAAGTTTATCCGTATAATACGGTAACATTGTGTACGTTTTTAGAAGTTCGGCCGTCCAAAACAATTTCATCCGAAGAGTATTATAAAACCAAGTGTGTGAAAAAAAAACGAGTTCTGGACTTTTGATGTCAAAAATTCTTATCAATATTAAATCAACAGACAATGTGATACGTAACTGTTTTAAAAATAGGAAATATTCGGACTTTAAGATAAGACAATTACTTTTTATGGCTTACATACCGTGCAATTGATTAAAAAGATAAGTACTCACTATAAGCCATAATTGATTTTTACTACGTATTACCGTTACTAATAAGTCAAATTGTGAAACAAAATACTTTTTGAAAACGTAGTACATATACATTGTGATACTTTGCTCCAATCACTTTAAAAGTTTTATTTTCAAAATATAAATTTCGAAAATTGATAAGAAAAAAACATCCAATCCACAATATCTCTGTACATGTGGTCGAATCTTGTATAAAGGACCCTATTTACATCTAAAATGCGAGTATAAATTATATACAAAAAAAAGCAGTGTAGAGAAATAAGAGAAATAGGGAGGAAGAAAGAGCATGATGAAATACGGGTGTTTGTACGTATAAGTATGTTAGGGATAAGAAAAATATACTATATATGATATGTATAATTGTTTAAAAAAATATATATATATACTTTATATATAATATGTATAATATATATGCAACCAATGTCCACGTAGTGTAAATATTTTTGTTGTTATTAAACAAGATTTATACGCGGACCATAAAGTATCATTTGTTCTCTTCTCAGTGAATTTTTTTTTTTTTAGTAAAGTCCAAATACTATAAAAGACTATAAAAGTAAGGATATAAAACCATCATTTCCTTGTTTCACAACCCCACGAAACTTTTCCTTCCAAATAGAATTTCTATTGTATTTCGTTTTCGACGATCATTTCGTGTACTTGTTTCTCCACCATTAGATGAAGATCTTGAAGTATTTCGTGAATTCTCTGTACTTGTATCCTCCGGACTGCTTATGTATGTCATGTGTGAATATTTTGATATTGAATCGGAATGCAATGCTATTAGCAGAATGATGCATCCAATAACAAACGAGAGGTCATCAGTGATACGAACTATCCAAAAGTTACGAATTGTCGCGTTTAAGAAAACCGCGACCAACGTATGAACAGTGATGAAGAGGAAGGATAATATCAATGATATTGTTAAAATTCCAGTCTAGAAAACAAATATTGATTAATAAATTATATATTTATCAAATAATTAATACTGATATATAACTTTTTAAGATTTTAATTCCAAGTAATTGCTTACCTTGAGAATTTCTTTATTTGTCCGATCCCTCCTCGCTTGCCCAATATTTCTTTGTGCTGTTGGATCGACAATAGGGGCTAAATCATTTTTCCTTGCCAATATTATTATAACACCAAATATCGCATATCCACAAATTGTCGAGAGAATAAAAATCGTTTCCAGAACGACAAAAACAATTATGAAAGCTCTTTCTAATATTGAGGTTGCATACACATTCGAAAGAACATAAAAAATAAAGGAAATAATTTTGATCAACCCATTCAAAATAATTACAATAAAAAAATTTCTACTGATTCGACGAACAAATATAACCCTATAATCTAAATCATCAGCAAGGTTTCGTGTTGCCTTTACCCTAACGTTAATAAAAAGTTTATCATGTTATTACTAAATAAAAAAAAATAAATAAAAATTTTTTAACCTTTTGTAATCTTTTGTAATCTTTTGTAATCTTACCATGGGAATAAAAATATTGTATAATTAATACACATAAAAAAGTAACCTAAAGCAACCATACTTTGATACACAAGGTCGGACATTCTGTGATAACGTATACCCCATGGGTCATAAGTAAATATTACTGGGAATACTTTAAGTAAAAAAAATAGAATTGATGTCAGTCATTATTTCATAAAAATAAATTACGATAATATTACGATAATATTATAATAAATTACGATGACGATAATATTGTGATATTATAATAAGTTATGATAACATTAAATTACTATAATATTATATAATATTATAATAAGTTATGATAATATTAAATTACTTAAATTACTATAATATTATAATAAATTATGATAATTAAATAAAACATACAAGTAGCACACAAGACAATTCCGGCGAGTAACCATGGTTTTGGATTATCTCTGTCATATTTATTTTTGTAAATGCCCCATAAAAGAAGTCCAAGTGCTATTATTATAATAATGCCATATAAGATTCCAACAATTATTGTCCAGATAAGAAATTCTTGACTATTAAGTAAATTGATCCAAGGTCCAGAATCTTTAAAAAATATAATAATACTGTATTTAAAATAAATGAAATATAAATTGTTAACAAGTTGTTAAACGAAATACCTTGCGTAACTACTGCATATGAAGGTTGATTCAAGATGTCTTGAACATTTGACATGTCTTCTATTTTCATCAAGGTCAGGACAGGAGCAGTTTTAGAAAGTGTCTGTAAACTTCCAATATACTTTTCCTTAATGCCCGGATCTCCATTATTCATTGAAGTAAATATCAGTACTTCTATTCTTGTCGAACTATCATTTGTTGTATCATTTGTTGTATCACGTGAATTTATATGGTTCATGATCGCGCGTTGATTCAATTTCAGGTTCCGATGATCCGGTAGACTCGTTTCAAATGATCTATCCATCGTTGTTATGGTACTAGGATTACGTGCCATGGTAGGTGTAGGTCTGTTGTCAGTGGGAAAATCTGTCGTGCTATGTCCATGTGTCACCATGGAATAATATTCCGAGGTGGAATGATAAGTCGTAGATAGTAGTTGCGAAGTTACAGTAGCACTATCATTAATTGTTTGAATCGTTTTCTGGAGCCATATATTACTAATTTTTTGAATGAAACATACGATAAAAATATTATAAATTAAATTGACAAAAGAATTAAGAATTATACAAAGAATAAAGAAATTACCTTTCAATGACGTCAGAATAAGATGAACATCCATAATTCAAACCTTCATTAAATGGTACCAATAGTATGGTAGTATTTATAGGAACAGAATTTAAAGTACAAGGATGCAGCGATTTGTCATTGCTAAAAGAAGCAATCGTAATGGTACCATTAACTTGTTCAGATGATAATATAT